GCCGGTTCCGCACCGAGAGAGGCGCCCGGCGTCAGCGGACCTCCATGTACGACAATTTGTACCTGCATGGATTTGAAGACTCGGAGGCGGTGAGTGAGGAGTGGGGGACACACACACGCACGCAAACCCGCACCCCCCTCAGGCTTTGTTACCGGAGGTGGCGTGTGCCGGTGGGAGCCACCCGAAATGCTCCTCCGTTACATAATTGCGGGGGGGAGCGGCAATATTTCGGGGTCCCGGCAGCGCTTGCCGTCGGTTCCCCCGCCTTGTGCTCCCGCAGCCGCGGGCCGGCGCCTCCCGGGCAGCGCCGGCGTTTGCTCCGCTTACCGTTCGTTAGCGTGGCGGGGAAAGCTGCTAATTACACAATGCCCGGTGCACGTTTGACAAAACAGCGGCAGAAGTTGCTGGGTTGCCAGCCGGATCGGCCGCGTCCCGGCCAGCCGCCCGGCGCGGGCGCCTGTGCTGTGGGTTAGCAAAGCAGCGGTGCGGGTGCCGTGGGTGGCCGAGGCATCATCGGCGTGACAGGGTCCCTGTGGCCCAAAATCAGCCGGGACAGGCTGGCGTTGCTCGTTGGGAAATTATCTCCCCCCCGCCCCCCTCAGCCCCAGCCGGCAACAGCCTCGCTGGGAAGCCGGTGGCATCCCTCACAAAATGGTTCTCTGGCAGCGCGGAGGCCCCCGTTATCGCGGGCACAGCTCGACACCCCAAATCAGAAATGATAGCGGTGGTTGTCCGAGGGGCGTTTCGTTCCAGCGGTAGCGGCTCGGGAGCCCCGTGGGGCAAGAATTACTCTTGGCAAAGGAAACTGCTGGGATCACCAGGGCCATAAACACACCGCTCTGTATTGAACAGGGATTCGTTACATAAGGCGTTGTGGCCAGCTCGTAAAATAGACAGATTATAACATAAAATAGAGTGTACGTCAATGCAGACGTATGTATCGTATGATGTGGTATCCCCAGGAGAATGGACAAGATCCCGTATCGCTTCAGATGAGGCTTTTTTTCCTTGCCTGACAACGAGGTCGTGTCTGTCTAGGACCGGGAAGTGTAATCTGTCTACGTGTTGCCTCACGGACTAGCAACTTGTTTTAGCATCCCTCTATTTGGGAGGGAGAGGAGCCACAGCCTTGCCGAACTGAAATTAAATGGTGCGGTACGCCGTGCTGAGAGGAGACCCTGTGTATTTGAATCCTTCACAACCATGTATTTGAATTCTTTTAAAAATGTGCTTCTTTGGGTCAATTTAGAAACTCCTGCCTTTTTAGCATGCATATGTTAAGCTGTGTTTTGTGTTTTCTCTCACTGCTGCTTACAAGCTGCCATGCCAAGTGCATACAAGTCTGTTGGTTCCTTTAGGGATGTGTTTTAGGATCCAACTGGATGTTTCTGTAAACGAGGCATTTGTAAGGCAAAGCGTGAATTCTTGGGAACTGTTCTCAATCCTGAATCTGTCTTGTGTTGGTATAATGTCTTTCAGCAAAGTATAAATATGCTCTTAAGAAGACAACTTAAAAGTATAGTAGCGTGGCTAAGAAGGCTAACTTGCTGCATAGTGGTTTCTGTGGAAGAAATGTTTTGTCTGTAAAAAGCCCTATTTTAAAGTTCACTAGAGAACACAGATAAATGTCTAGTGGGATTCAAAGGTGCTTCTGAGATAAGGGCTTAACTCCATGTATTTCAAGAAAGCCCCACTGATTTCCTCCAAGAATGCTATGTGGGGACAGCAGTTTTAATGACAGCAGAAGACCAGGGGCCTACCTGTTACACAAACCCTGTGTTAGGATTTGTACTGTAAAAATCACATTAGAAGAGAGAAACGAGGTCTTTAGCTGTGTGCTTTGAAGAACTGGGATGGAGAAGTGATTTCCAGGTTCCTTAATACTCTCTTAACTAGTTCATAATGCTGTTTACAGCTTTTGTAAATTTACAGTCTGTCAGTACTTAAGAATGTTTTTGATAGACTTAACTTCCAGAATCATGGGAACATGTGAGGATCTTAGCTTTCATTAACAACAACAAAAAAAATCCACCCAAAAACCAAACCCTAAAAGCAATCTAGATGTCATAGTCCTATAGAAAAGCTAGAGGCCATAAACCCCAGTGTCTCAGACACAAAGTAGATAAAATTCTCCAAGAGTTTGCTTGCTTTATGCTTCTGAACCACTCGCTTAAAACATTATACCTTATTATTATTTTGGATTCTGACTCATGAATTGAGAATGCCTGCTGAGACAATATTCTGGCAAGCAGGTAGCATGATGGGTCATATGAGTATTACTTTCAAGCCAAAGAGAGCCAACGTAATAGAATTAATATAGTGAAAAACAAACCAAGAGTAGAATACTGGTTCCCTGCAGTTAAGAGCAAATAAATGTGAGTGTGCACAGATTAAAGAAAAGTCTTCTGTGTTCTGGCTTTTAGGACCTGAAAGGCTTAGCCCAGATGTTGTGCAGCTGGTAAACTGAAGGAACTGTGGGCTTGTATACTCTATGTGCTTTTTCATTCCCTGAAGCACAGGGAGATGTGATTGAGGACTTGTGCTCCTTGCAGTGCTTCTAGCACAAAATAAATCATATCAAGATGAGTCATTCTAGTACAGTAACATCTTCCTAAAGTAGGCATTTGCCCTTATAAAACCCGCACAGTCTGATATTCATGGCAAGAAATAAGAGCTAACAAACCATTGTATTTTTTTACCCCAGTTTTCATTATTTTGCACATGGACCAGGTTCACTCTGCATTTTCTCTGAAGGAAATCCTGGTGCATGTCCAAAGTAGCAGAAGGCTGTTAAAAGCCAGTGGACTGGCTGTGCTTACTTGGAAGGTCTGTCTCAACCTCCTGACTTAGAAGGCAACGGCTCCAGACTGAGCCTAACCAGTGCGGCTGCTGAGCATGCTTTAGGCACTCTCCTAGGCAGGACTTCCACGGACAGGCAGTAGGAGCTAAAGCTGTGCCTAGCTCTAATGATAGGGCCAAACCAAAAATCCACTCACCCTCCTTTTTTGTGGGGTTTCTCCCTGCAACGTCAAGAGAGCAGCTGTTGAGCTGGGTTTGTCACCATTGTGCCTGTTCCTTATCGATGAAAGCTGAGAGAAGAGCTGCAGTTGTGATCAAGGGTTAACCTTTGTTGGTCTTCACTGGGCTGAAATAGAGGCGTGTTGCTGAGTGCCTCTGAACTGCTTCAAAATAACTTAGTGGTATTCCAGTTAGAAAGCAGCTGAACAGTGACTTCAAATATCCACAATGAGGTTTTCTTCAGTAATAAAACCAAGCCCATCGTAAGTTCTGTGTGTACATATCAAATCTGGGTTTGCAGTGGAGGAAAAGGTGAACGATCAGTGTATGGCACTTACACAGAGTAAACATGCTCACTTTTGGAAAGGTACGATGTTTAAAGACAGGGAAGCTGAGATAGGTACTGAATTTATACCTTATCTCTTTTGGGAGATAATACACAGATAAAGTGATCAGAGAACACTCTAGGAGAAGTGTGCAGGTGAAATTTTCCTGTTAAAACCAGGAATAAACATGAAATTTTTTTTTTTACAGTGGACAGATATAGATGATTTTTGTAATTGAAGCTGTTATAGTGTGTTTGTATGTGTGCATATATATATAAAATACATGCAAAAATACACATTTTTATGTATGTACAAAGAAATGAGTTGAATGTGTGCATGGGTATTACAATTCATTTACCAGCTGTGATGATTAATGTGAAGTAGATGATGCACTAGCTAGTGTGAGGCTTTTTGGAGGAGGAAAATTACACTGTTGAAGCTGAAAAAAAACCTACCAGTGATTGTAGACAAAAAGCAGTTGCCACGTTGAAGAGAAGAGAAGCAGAGATACGGAAGCAACTTTTGCAGGCACGAGTGCCCTTGTAATGAACACAGAAAGTGCAGGCTTAGAAGGTGCATGACCATAGAAACATCTTCCCAGTGAAGATTTTTGCCTTGTTTTTTTTGCCCTGCCCTCTTGATTTTTCAGTTTTTGAGGGCTTTTTTTAGTGCTTTGGATAGTTCTAAAGAGGGACAGCCTTTGGAGAATGAAAGCTTGTTTGGCTTGTAGGGAAGTATGTCTTGGCTTGTGGATAACATGGGAATGGGTCATAAAAACCCATTGGGACAGGGGGCTTAAGACAAGGAGGTCCGTTGGGTGAGCAAGTTGTGTACTAATAGGTGTGTGTCTGTTTAGAGCGGGGAAGGATCGGAACACTGTTTTGATATTTCCCAGTGCTCTTTGGCTTCAGTAAAGACTCCATCTTTTTCAGAAACAAGCTTCAATGACCCCTTCCCATAAGAAATTGCATTTTCTGTAAAATTATATTTTCCATTAAAACAGCATTTAATTGAAAAATTCTCTCCAGGAGTTAGCAACTAGTACCCTCTAACGCAGAGCCCTGGCCAGCCCCCACAGATGATGGGGAGCTGCACCTGCTGCAAGTAGGCGTCACTCTCTTTGCACCTGCGGAACTATCAGACCAGTCCCTTGTAGATTGTTTCTTTTTATACCTCCAAAGCAGAGGTTTCACCTCAGAGCAACACCTGAGCATGTGAAATGACTTTCCTCACTTCTCCCGAGGTGTAAGCTTAGCGCTTGTCAATGCGTGAGAGGCTTTATCTTGTGTACTTGAGTCGTTTATCAGGGCTGTGGGGAATAGCTGCCTTTGGGTAAGTGCTTAGAGGTTCAGCTTGGTTTTGCACCAGGCAGAAGAGCAGAGCGAGCAGGGGGCAGCCTGGTGTGGGATTAGCAAGGCTGGTGTGGGGAGGGGTGGGGGACCAGCTTGGGCAAGAAGCCCGCTTGGCGTGGCCGTGGCAGCAAGGGCACTGGGCGGCATCACCGCTCAGCCCGTGTCAGCCTGCAGCACCCTCTCCGCGTGCTTCTCTGCTTCATAATGCCAGCGTCTCCCTTTCAGGTCATCTTCTTCTTCACAAGTCATTGAAGATGGCAGTTAATTTGTGCCTTGGTCTTCTGCCTGTCTTTTTGCTAGGGAAGCTTGTATTTAAATATCGAGTGCATTTCTGTGTGGTACCTCTCTCATCTCTAGAGGAGGAGGAGAAGTGGTCTTCCCTTGCCCTATACG